CGGGGGGGCTCTGGGGCTCTGGGGGAGCCGCTGGACCTCGGCCGACAGACAGACGGACAGACAGACAGCGCCATGCACCCTCCGGGCTGACGGAGGCGAGGCGGCTTCTGGCTTCTCGGAAGGCAGCGGGCGGCGAGGCAGCTGAGGCGTTCGTTAATGCGCACCCGTTCCCGCCCGTCGGCAGCTGTGCTCGAGTTGCAAAATCCCCCTTAAAGCAAAGGATGCGGCCACAGCACGAGCTGGGGGGACAAGTTCATGGGTTCCTAGAAGCCAAGAATCCGCGCTGACCAGCTCTCTGGCATCTCCTGAACTGCAAACCACAACAACAAAGATAAGACCCAGAACAACCATCCGTCCAAATTTTTCACTTCAAAGTCAAAGGGCTGATTTGACTTTCGATTTTTAAAGGACAACTATCATGATTTTTAAGCAATAGTATGCAGAAGAGATGAATAGCGCACTTGGTGATCTGCATGATTTATTTGGCAAAGCCTAATAGTTCTTGCTGGAGCAAATTAATAATAACTCTCATCTGTTTGTCAGAATTTAATGTAGGCTAAAAAGTCATTGAGAGTTTTCTTCAGATGGAAGTCCATTCAAAACAGAACAAAAAAAGATGAATTTGAGAAAAAAAGCTTTAATAAAGTCTTCTTTAAACGAAAACCACTCAAGGCTTGACTGTTAATCAAAAGAACATTACTTACCTTACTTGGCATCACTGAAGCCAGAAGCTGGCAGCAAGTTTTAAAAAGGAACCCTTTTCTCTTTCTTTACAGTCGTAATTTATAACAGCTGAACTATTGGCTATAAATACTCTTTTCCTTCTGCTAATGTATTGTGCTTCTGGGATTGTTCAGAGCAAACATTTTGTTGCTAAGACAATAAACTCCTAAACTGGGGCTTCTGAAAAAAACTGCAAGCACATTCCAAGCAGCAGCTATTCAAGGAATACCACTATGCCGGCTTAACAGACTAAGTTTTGTTTTGCTTTCGCTCCCATTGACAAATACTGAAATTTCTCACTACATTTATTTTTTAAACATAGAAAGCTGCCGCTTGCAACACACTGGAGCATATTTATGTCTATACCAAAGCTAAAAATTCAAATGGGATGAATTAGCAGAGAGAGTTTGCTGTTGAAAGTAAAGAGCTAGACAAGCAAAACACATTCTTAAATACATGTAAAATATTAAATTATGGAAGATAAGGGCTTAGGATACATCCTGTTACACACCACAGTTTTTCTACATGTAATACGCACTTTATCTTAAAAAAAAAAAAAAAAAAAAAAAGCTACCTAAAAATCTTCCAAACTGGTACCAGCAAGATTTGAGTTTTCTTGGGTTTTAAACCATGTCCTGATAGATACCTTAAATTAGATCATTAGGGAACACTGGCACGCAATGGTATAGCTGTATACAGCTTTCTATGCCCTTTATAACCAGAGACATTATGCGTTAGTGTCAGGCACCACGAATACGAGTTACCTGATCAGAAAAACGATAAAAAGCCAGGCTCCACAGACTGCAGCGCTGCTGTTCTGCTCCCCTGACTCACACAAAATCTCACGTATCACCACTCGGCTATGTTTGTACATTTGGAGGGGGCAGAAAGAGGGGAGTCTGTGAGTGCAGGGCAGCAAAACCCCCAACGCCCTGGGGAAGCGCCGCTCCCACGCGGCTCTGGGATCTGACTCCGGCTTGGGGATTGCTCTGTGCATCGTGATGATCGCAGACAGCCGAGCTGAAGAGATACAGGCTTCCCACATTAACACTCCGTGAGCTGCATCAGATAGAGTTATCGTATTAGCTGGCTGAACTTGTGTCATACTCTTATTTTTAGTATGCTATTATGCCTCTGGGATATATTTTATTTATCAGCGAATTGGACCTAAACAGATGTCATAGTGTTTTTTCTAAAGGGGGCCTTAGGCAACTCGCTGCGAGGTACCTGAAACATACTGCGTGTGTTTTGGGGAGGGGGCAGAGTGAACGTGTGAGCCAAATTCTGTGTGTGCATCTTTTTTAGTCCTGAGCCACTGTTTGGAAACTACAGTTAATTTTTCAGACAGTGATCTAAAACGTTTAACTGAAAAAAAATTTCTGTCATAGTTATACAGAAAAACACTGAGGTTCTCCTGAAATTTCTCTAATTCAAAGCAACATTATGAAACAGAAAAAGTGAGAATTTGCGGAAGAACTTGGCAAAGTGCATCGCGCAGCAACGCGGGATCGCCCAAAGGACCAACGGTGGCTACAATGGATACAGCGGTGAGCTGCAGGCTCGCCTGCATGCGGGTGTTTCCATCCAGGGGAGCTGCGAGTCCTAATGAAGAATCTGAGAACCATAATTTGCATGGGTGAAGTTCTTCAGTGTCAGCACAAAAAGCTGACTTCTGCTTCCCCAAGCAGCATCTTGGAAAGCTGCCCTGGTTCCTTGGTCACGGTTACCCTGTCGTGCAGCTACGGGATGGGGTCTCTAAGAAGAGAGCATTTTCTTAGAGATGCTCTCCAAGCAGATGAGAGCATCATCTCGGTCATGACACCAACAGGTTCAGTTAGGGACAGCTAACTGGGAGAAGTTAAAAAAAAGGGGGGAGCGGGGGCAGAATTTAGGTTGAAAATAGGGAAAAAAGACATTTTTATCACTTATTTCATTGAACACTGTTGACAAGAAGTGGCAAAACTACATGGGGAAGGCACCGGAAAATGAGAGAGAATTCTGTAACATCCTGGGTATGGGCTGTGCAGCAGAAAAAGGACGCTGATGGGGAAGGATTGCAGTCACAACGCTAAGAAGCAGAGGGAGCACAGAATCGCGAAAGCTTTTGTCAATAGAATTTCATACCCAATTATTGTCACGGGACTCTCAAATTTTATTTCCTGCAATTCTTCTGGCAAAAGGCCAGTTCTCACATGACCTCCATAATTTTTCTAATCCTATCAATGAAATAGTCTTTCCTGCGAGGCAGCCCATTTTCTTCCCTGTTAAGAGAGCAGATTTCCCTTAGAAGTTGGACCTGTTTCATAAGAAAACCAACCATAAATAGTAAGTTTCCTCTTAGAGAGATGAACTAACATCAGCATGCTAACATCTGCGGGCCTTTGATTTTGTTACCGTTATACTAGATGGAGCCCACCCAGGGAGAGTGCCATCCAAAGAGGCTTTTTTTCTTCTCCTTAAGCGGGTGAAAAATGGTTGTGCCAGCTGGCAATGTTGAATGCAGGTAAAGAGCTGGCAATACGCACCAGCACGGGATCCTTAGGCGACGCGTGGCCTTTCCTGCATGTGGCCACTCTTGGGTATTGGCTGTCTTGCTGAGCAGGGATCACAATTTCTAATCTCACGCCTGCTTCTGGTCTGGGCTAGCGACACAGAGTCAGCGTAGATCTGAACCTACTGGACAGCCGAAGAATTAACAGGTTGTTTAATTACTTAACAAATTCCAGGTGTTGGGATCAGCACAGTGGAGCTCTTTTCTGCGTAACAATGCCAAAGGCCTTGCTCTACCTGCCCTCCCTGCCCAAAACTGAAGCCAGTAGGGTAGGTGGCAGGGAGCAGGGCCGGATTCAAGAGCAGCTATTGCTCATTTTCTTGTCACTCTATAGGTCACTGGCTGGCAGAAATCTCCACAAAAATGCATCTAAAAATATTTTGAAAACTTGGCCTCTGCTGATGAGAAAATTAAGTGGTGACTCATGCTCCCATCAGCTCCAGACTTGATTACTGCAATTTGATGGACTGAGAAGCTGATATTCCACCGAGACTGCAATTTGCTTAGGGGAGCAGCTGAGAGGTCTCATTGGCACCAATTGATTCCAACACATCTCTCTTGTCCTTTTAATCACTAACAAATTTAATTTCACTTCTCACTGAAGATCTCACTCTCCACCTTTCTGGCAAGAGAACAGTTTAGAGGCTGCTTTCATGACCTCTGCTACAGCTCAGATGCCAGCACGAAGCAGACCTGCCTTTTATCAGCACCTCACACCCACATCTCCTGGCATCGCTTTCCCTAGTCCTGCACATGTAAAGCCCCTGAACAGTCCTTGTCCATGCCACTCCAGAAGATTACTTACCAACCTGCAGGAATGAACTCTGAGAATTTTACAGGAACCGTACACGTAAACTTTTAAAAATTTAATAAAAATGCCTCCTCAAAGAAGTCGCAGTCTAACGATCGCAAGTGATAACGTGGTTTAAGCAAGAAAACGGCAAAGAGGAGACAACCTCCCCCTTCTGACGCTGTTCCCATACGATGCTGTAGTTTGGTCTGGGAGATGGGGGCTACCCGTGGAAACAGGGACAAAAGAGAGGCGGTTTGTTAGATGCTGGAAAGGGCAGGCCATCAAACCTAAAGTAAAAATACTCTTCATTTACTCTTGTCAGGTGCTACGTTATCACCGAGCTCAGTTAGAACAATGGCAGGGCTTTTCAAACAGCTTCCCTAGGGAGACCGCTCTGCAGCTTAACAGCGCTTTCATTGGAGATGTGCAAGCGTAACCAAGGGCAGAATTTAGTCTCTTGTCTACTAAACGTGTCTGCGAGGGATTGTATGTGTTTCTGGCACTTTATAATAATAGTAATATAAATGCATTTGGATTATAACAAAATGGAGAAACCATGATTTAGCCCTTCACTGTGCTGTAATTCCCAAATACATCGACATCTATTTAAGTGCAAAATAGTCTACAGTTTACAAATACAAGGCTGCGATCATCTGCTGTAAAGGTTCTGTATGAGATTACGATTCAATACAAAACACAACTCAGTGTCTGAAATTTCATTTTTAATGTCAGAATAACATCAAAAAAGTAGCTCTTTCTCCATATGCAGTCTTGCAAAAAAAATGTATACCAGGGACTTGGTCCTTTCTAGTGATTTCTACATATATAACTGCTCATCTCTTATGCACGTATGCACTTGCACATAAATAAATGTGCTTGCAGACAGACAATATTTCATCTTGCCTTCTAACCTCCTGCTGTCAAGGTATTTCCACAGAAAACCGTACACAAATAAAACTAACAGCTCCTCTTTCCCCGACTGCCAGAATAACGCAGGGGACTACTTCTGTAAAACCCAGCTGCTGGATTACTCTCCTTTTGCTCTGTGAACAAGCACAACTGCGCGGCTTCTGCTGAGATTGCCTTTGCTGTCATACGACCTATTCGCACTAACTAAAGGATCTGTAAGAAAAAACCCACAACCACGATCTTGATTTTAACTACATGAAAAATGATTTATCTTGGACCTATTACTGGGGTCATCAAAAGCTTCTCGATTTAGTGCACAAAAAGGGAAAGAACACGTTTGAGTAACTCAACGCCAAGTGCTAAGATTCCCTGTGACTTCTGAAGTGTTCTTTTATTGTTTGGGCGGTTTTTTTCCTCTGCTAGCATTACATGGGATTATAGATATGCAGAAGATAAGAAGTTGATGATCAAGAAAATCCTTATATTTTAACATGGGCAAAGTTCTCATTTGCCATCAGTTTTGCCTGATTATATTCAATACCAGCTATCTCTCAGTTAAATTTACAGCCAAGAAGTTGAAAAGATACACAACTGTACTAACCCTCTACTGAAAAACTGGTGGAGTTCAATGAATTAATTTTCAGTTGATGATAATTGGCAGTATTCTGAGGACTTTCTTTCCTTGGGTTTAGTTCATAAAATATTTCCGTACAGTTCACAGATTATTTTTTTTTTTTTTAAGAACAAGCAAAGAGTTTAAAAGCTTACCCAGAAAGGAACAAAACATAGGTAACAGAGGTAAAAAGTTGACCTAGAGGATAAGTAATTTTATCTTGTTTTCCTACTAACAAATTAAATTCAAACCCATTCTGTTTATTAAAGACATATAGGCATAATGACAAGTCATAAAACAAACAACAGTCTTCAAACGTAACAGAATTGATATGCATAATTAAGTTTCATTAAGTATGGATTTTAAATATGTATTTCAGTTTTGCTTTATATTCCCTTTAGACCAACACCTCCAACATTCACCACACAATATTTAGGCTGCCCCAAGCAATCAACAAGGACTTTGTAAAGGCTCTAACAAAACCCCATCTTAAAACAGTTTGAAATATTCTTAAATGTAGACAAAAAATTAACAAAGAAAATAGGCTGTGTTCAGTGGAATCTAAGCAAGTTGTTGGATGTACTGAAAATCGGAGGTTCAGTACGCAGAGGTAGCTCAGTAAGGGTACGTGCAGTGTTCTGACTATTTAGCATTGACGCAACCACAGTAAGTTACTGTATGCTTGAACTCTTCCTATGTATTTTTAAAAAGCGAGCACTCTTTCTGGGCCTGTTGCTTTGCCGTTCAAAACCAACTCTGGAAGTTCACATTTATGGGAACAGAACAAAAAAGAAACTGTCCTGAGTCTGGGCCCTCTGCTGCAAACAGAGTTTTTAAGCCCAGACAAAGGAATTTTTTCCCACATGGAGACAGTCACAGGTTAGCCTTGAATTTGGCCCAATAACACGCATGCTATTTGCTCCCAGTTACCTTGCAGGTTGGCTTGTTGGTGGATCTGACTACGCTATCGAGGGATGTGCTGATCAAAACTGTGAACTCGCTGCCCGCTGTGCCCTTTGCATCACTGGCTAGTGGTAAGAGAGCAGAGCCCTGGGGGACACGGATGGTGGACAGTGTCCCTCAGTCCTCCTGCCTGCTCAGTGTGCAGAGCTTGATCCCCTTCCAGGGAATGAAAGAATTCAGCACGTTGCCACCTCACGTACCTTCGTTACATGGTCGTTTTATTGGTGATGACATTCTGAACAAGGTGACGCTGTCAGCTCCCAGCAGTTTCTCGTACGGATGGCAACAGAGCATTCTTGCCTGGACTGACCATCAGGTAAAGCACCAGTGATGGGTACCAGATTACTTTCCTGTTGTTCACAGGAATAACAGACTAGGAATAACAGACTAGGTAAACCAAATACAATTTTTTTCACTAAGGCAAAAGGATATGAATTTCACATGCCTATCGTCACACAAAAGATCTTTAGCCTGTGTAAATGCCTATAGCCTTATCAGAGCTACGATAATTTACATCTGCTAAAGACGTGCTCCTCTGTGCTTGCGCTCAGTTGCACCATTAACTGCAATGTTAACCAGGACACACGTGAAACTTCTGCATTTATATCGATCCCAGTTTGACCTATTTCTTTCATTCCTTTTAATGTTTTAATGCACAATTGCTAGCACAGTTTTTGCAGATGGGTACACTTCAGAGTCTGGACTCGAGTGTGCTTCTAAAAATCTCAATCTCCCAGACAAGATGCAGTGCTGGCTATATGTTTAAATGTATGCCTGTGTTCCTTTCTCTTCAACGCTCCTCTTAGAAATAGTATTTTGTACTCTTTTTTTTATATAAGCTAATTAAAAAGAGTAACATTGTTTTTTAAAAAGTTGTGACTGATTGTCAAATTAGCTAAGATAGTGTTTCTCTTAGTATAAGGATCCTTTTAATTGGGGGGGGAAAAAAAAAGTCAACTTACTTGTTCTCACAAGCTATTATTCATTACCAATGCAGCAATATAGAAAACATTGCTTAGCTTACTACAATAAAGGCTCAGTTTCAATATTAGCATCCTAAATTCTGTCACTGCAGATCTCTGTGCATTGCACCGGGGGAAGGAAAAGAAAAAAGAAAAACAAAAATTTGTGTTCTTCAGGGGTAAATTATAAAAGATCTCCTAGCTGCAAACACAAATACTTCACTCATAACCCAAGCACCAGACCATTTCTTTGAAGAAGCTTATGAGGCATTTAAGATATACAATGGCACAATATCATACAATGGAATTGAAAGAATTTTCTTGAGGAACCATTAACTTTGAAGGAATGTCTAGACAACTGTGTCAACAAATGCAAATAATTCATGCTTCTCAGCTTCTATCCAATGGATGGCCCCATGCTGAGTATACACAAACTCAGAAGAAAAAGGCATGTCACAGTCATATGACTAGGGAGTGTAACAGTGTCACACAGAAATTCAAGTCAGTCTTGAAAAAAAACCTTCAGAAAGCTCTTCCCCAGGGTAAGCCAGCAGTGGGATAGGCTTCTGGTCATTTTGGCTAGTTTAAAAGAGAGACTTACAGCTGGTGCACCCTGGCTTCAAAGCAGGGACAATGGAAGAAACCACTGTTAGTCATGACCATTCACTCAGTTAGAAAAATAAAACTAAAGGACTCCAAAATACTGTACAACCTCTTGCAGTAACCAACAAAGTGGCTTCTGGAAACAACACTTCTGCCAAAAACGCATCTATAAGGCACTTAACAGGTATCTCATATATATATATATATATAAAAATAAAGTATGCACTGAAGCAACATTCACAAATACCCAGTTGTCTCAATTATCTGTGTGTACAGTATAGTACATATATACATTCACTGCGACACAGGCCATCTCCGTAATTATACCTTCACGGGTGCTTTGGGCTGCCTGGTTAACTTCAGTGCCTGTGAACAGCAAACAGAACAGTCACTTTTTTACATTCTTAGAAGACAACCAACAGAACAAGTCAAGATTTTCATTGAGAAGGGGGAACAAAATACTGTGCGTACTTCTGGGAGGCTGCCTGAGGAGTCAGCATGCAGCTGACGGGCCACTCTGGGTTCTGTGATGGTGCTTTTATCTCTGATAGCCCTTCACAACCTCCTCATACACAGACAGCCTTAAGAGAGGAACCACAAGGAATATGGCTACAGTGCCGGTGAAGGAAGCGGAGGTGGGTCTCGGATGTCTGTTAGAAGGCAACGATTTGGACCCCACTCGAACCACTTGTGGCATGGATACAAGAGCTTCTGACCTGCTTAGGGCAAGACTCTGAAGAAAATTTCTGCCAACACCTTTGTGTTCCCTGGCTTCCTTCCATATGGCTCAAAGCCTGCTGAGACTACAGTCACTGCTGCAGTGGTGGATGTCATGCACCTCTGATGTTCATACCTTCCTTTCTGAGAAAAGGTAAGAATAAGCCAAAATCCATCAGTCCAGAGGTGATCTTATGCCAGGGGACACCTGATGTCTTCGTAGCTCTAGTCTGCTCTTACTGAGGAGAGAAACCACCTGCTTTTATTTGATGGCAGGGTCCAGCTCTGTGCTCCCCGCAGGGTTGGCCAACTATGGTAGCTGAACTATTCGTTCAGCATGACAGAAGTTCAACTCAAATGATAGGGGATCATGCTTCCAGTCTGACAGGAAGCAGCCTCTCTAACTTAGAAGGCAAATGCGAGAGGCTTAAAAGGTGCTAGGTTTTCAGCTGCTCCTGTATACCGATGTGGTCACCGTGAAGGACGCCTGTTGCTGGTGTGCTCTGCAACAAAAAAGCTCAGTGCTTTCTTGTGTGGGATGAATCGGCCTGAGCGAGAGGGAAATTAATGAAATTTGCAAATTTCCTGAAATTTAGAAGTTCTGTTTTGCTTAGCCTTTTGGGTGAAGTGCCCTGACAAACGGGCATTTGCCTGTTGAGTGAGAGACTTCTCATTTCTGGAGGGTTGGCTAAACAACCACTTTTCAGTCTGAGAGATGTCTGATGGGTCTTCTTATTGTAGGTATTAACCTTTAATATTGTACATTTAAAGCTTGTAAGCTCTGCTTGAAAAACACTCCAGCACAAATGTAAACCCTTAAAAAAATCCAAACCTTTAAAAATAAATAGGCTATATTCCCCTCAGAAACACCAGCTTTCAGAAACACCAGCATTTAACTATTGTTAAATCTAGCCATTTGAGATTAGGCTTTTGGATATTATTCATCAAGAGACTTTGGAGAGAGACATCATTCCACATTTTGTTTGGGGAAACAATTTTTTAACTTTGTAGTTTGGCAGATTCTGCTGCCATATTTACAAACTAGAAATACCTTAGTGTAGATGAACCTCTAAATATTTAAATTCAATTTCATACAACCGGATCACATGTACTATCATAATTAAGTAAGAATGTCACTGCAGTTGAGTACTGTGACTGGATTACCGTCTCCCCCTGCAAGAGAGATGCCAAAATGAAGCCAAGGTGTTTATAGAAAATAAACATCAAGGGTGATGATGACATGTTTATTTTCAAAGCGGGAGACCATTATCCAGTCACAACATTCACTTCTATTATACTTATTATAACTGTACCAGACCCAACCTCATTGATTTTTTTCAAAGAGTAATTAAAATAACATTTGTGAATAATACAGAAGACCAACTGAAGAAACTGCTGCAACAGAACAACAATCCCCCAAAGTGGTTCTACGGTAGCATTACAGTCTGATTAGCATAGGAGGTTTATTTGATGCTTAATGAATAAGAAACTAGTGCTGGTGAACTGTAAATCTCTTCAGTCCTGGTTGACTTTTCTGATGCCTTGTTTAAAGGCTGTATTAACTTGCAGCAACTGACAGCAGCCCCTAAAGGCCATTACCACCCCTGAGGACCAGGGAGCTCTAGATGAGCTCCAGCCCCACTCCTGGTCTTGGCAGCAGGGAGCAGTTAGATGCTGAAAAGAAGCCAGTATTGCAGGGATCGGTCTGTCACTAGTAGTGTCAACCTTAGGCTATCTTTCTACAGGAATAGCATGGAATTTTCTTTACACAACCTGTAATGTCTCCTGATAATTCTGTGATTCTGTGATAATCTGATTAAAAAAAAAAATAAATCATGACTTTCAGACTGATGGAGGAATGACATATGATTCTCAAATTTCCATTTTCAGATGCTAAGATAAGTATGTCTTAACAAGGTCTGATTTCTGGACTCAGTTCCTGAAAATTCAGAGTTTTCCTGTGTTTTACAATTCAGGTAACCAAAAGTGAAGCCACATTAAAATCACTGATTTGGGGAATTTTAGCATTCAAGTTAGCAAGGTGACTTTAGTGGGGTGAAGCTAGTAAAATGTCAGCTGTTGGGTTTTGCTGAAAATTGGAAACATGGAAGTTATAAAAAAAAAAAAAAAATTTCTCCACTGACAAGCAGAGAATGCAGGGAACTGATGGTGCTGGGCTTCCCACAGCAGGTCTCAACCTTCCCCTAAAAGAGCTGTTAAAGACTGGTTCGGTTGCCACAGCGTCTTGATCCTTCTTATCTCAGAACATTAAAGACAGCATTCACCTGAAATCAGTTGCACGGACTAGCTTTCTGCGAGGTTGTTACTACTGTTCTGAGAACCTGACTAAAACTGTTGCAATTATTTCACGTAGATCACAAGAATGGCTGTCAGATGTCAATAGCTTCAATTTGTACTGAAACAAACAGAATTTGAGTCAGTGATGTCGAAGCAAAAACCTCTAGGTTATATTTTATAATCCTACAAGCTATCCCATGCCATAATTTTGGCATGAAATGGGATGCACCAGACTCCTGTAGACTTCTTGCTATTGTAAAGGGTGACCCAAGTAGAAAAAAAACCTAAACAATTAAAACCTTTTAATCCTGCTGCAATTCAATTTGGAAAGTGCCCTCATTTGACTGGATCTCCCCAGCTCCCATGCCAGTGGACAGATCTTTGTCACTTTTCCATAAGGGAGATCCAAATCTGTGATTATTAGCTAAAGATGGAACCATTCTTACTCAGCATAACCTGAAATGATAATTTGAATGAATTCATAATTTGAACTAACCATAGAGGTCAAACTTCAAGATCTGAACCTCTTCAGAGCCAAGGGGGATAAAGTTCAGCATTTTTAATTTGATACTACTGTGACTATCACTGTCATAAAGGAAGCAAAGAAACAGAAAAATCCTTACCATGGGATGTCTAAGAAGGAACCTGAGGAGTTTAAGACATGTGTTTAGATATTTTTTTTCCTCATAGCACACTTTCCAGTATAAAACAAAAGCAGCAATTCTTACCTTTTGCCTAGAAACCATCCAAGATTTTATTGTTGGTACCAACAGACTGCCAAGAAGAATCTGTGCAGGATGATAGATGAGTAAGGGGACGGAAATTAAGGACAGGTGCTCGTAACCCGCAAATACGATCTTCAGCATTGGAATCCCTGCAGGCAGAAAAACAGGAGACAGACTCTCACCTCAGACGTTGAACTCCAGATAAAAGCGAAACATTTTATGTTGCCTTGTTATGTCACCAAAAAAAACCCCAACCCGAACGCCCAAAGAAACAAAATGAAGACTCAGAAGTTTTATATAAAAAAACAACCCAAACAAACCAGCAAGAACATGAACAAAAAAAAGAAATACAGGGCAGAGAAAGTTCTGTGGCAGAAAGGAAGGAGTAGGGGAATGCCATAAAAGATCTTTTCTAATCATGCTAGTAGCTATCAAACTTCTGCTGAAGGCTTGATATAAACTACATCCTGCTACAGCACAGCTGTTTGGTTGCGGAGCATAGTTCTGTACTGCTTATTTACTGCTTCCTCTCACTGCGCTCTTGTTTCTGGTTTTCATGGCTGTCCTCCACCCAATGTGCCCAACTCTTGCTTGTAACCTTTCCTCAGTCCATTCACGACTGGAGGAGGGTTGCGTTTTCCTGGCATACTCCGTGCCAGTTGGTGAGCACCCCAATGACAGCATGAGCACCCCAATGACAGCCTTCCCTGCCAAAGCAGGGATTCACACAGCCAAGACAGAGTCAAGTACTCTGCAGGTGAGTGCTCACGTTAGGGAACAAAACTCTCTGCTCTACCTGTATGTTTCAGAAGAGATACAGCACGAGAGAGAAAAGTTTTAGCGACCTGAGTGAGCAATGTGAAGTGGTCACACCTATGAAAAGTTAGGGAGCAGCTGGGGTAGAGAAGTTGCTAGATCCTGGAAGAAGCATGCGTTGAGAGCTAGAGATGAGACATTTTCCCCAAGAGCTTGAATTCGCACTCATCAGTGCCAATTCTATTAGACATCGCCATGCGTAATCTTCCTACTTGATGATGTGATATGTAAAATTAAATTTGATTTAGTTTTCCAGTAATGAAACTGATTATGTTTACTTTGAACATGTTATTGTGCTAAATCACCTGTTTAAATCTTGGAACTTTGCTACCTCGCTCCACAAAGCATAGGTGTGGCCAAAACTTGCAACCATGTCTGTCTTGCTTGACCAGCCATTTGCACAGTTGCCAACAAGAGCAGCTGCGATTCCTCAGGAGCCCCCTGAGAACATACCTTTTCTCCCTCATCTTAAATGTCATTCTAGGAATCTTCCGCCAGCATCAACCTTCCAGCAAAGCAGACTGCACACAGTTTTCACAGAGCTCATCTGTGTCTCTCCTTTCTTAGCAGTGACAAAAAGCTGAGCTTTGTGCCACATGCCCTCCATTCCCGTTAGTAGATGTTTCAGATCAGCCAAAGCTGCTATGTTTACATTAACTTTTGTCTATATCTTGGATAAATTCCCATTCTCAACACCCTTTCAGGTTTCCCTTAATAAAAGTTGCCTCCTCCCTGTGTGAGGAAACAGCTTATTTGTTGAATATTTACCGCTCCGCCAGTGCCCCACTATTGCTGACACACGTCCAGGCTTGCTGAAATCTTCATGATGTTTCTACAGCACCATTTCTTGTAATTAAATTTTGATCAGCTTCATTACATTACACCACTAACAATCTCGTCCCCATACTAGTAGCCTTTACTTATGTGGATATTTCCAGGGAAAGATTAAATCAAATAAATAAAGGCTTGTGTGCTTAATTTCAATATTATAATTACCTTCAAAACAACATCACGGCCCTATCACGCAATAGGGCTGCTTATTATTGACACTAATTTCTGGGGCTTGAGAATAGATAGTACTTGGATAGAAAATAAATTGGCATTTGTGTTATATTAAGGAGTGTAATTTACTTCAAATGCACAGCATACTGTTTCTGCAAAGAGATAAAGGTTTTACTGCCTGTTTGCAAGTCTCAGCTTGACCCTTGTGGGTCCTTTTCTGTTCTCAGAAAAACCACAGAAAAATAAACTAGAGTCCCAAGCTATGAACATGCTATATTTATGTTCGTAAGACAGTACCTGGTGTTTTGGTAGTGCAATTTCATCCATAGATCCAAAAACACTTTAGTAAGCTGAACAGGACTCCTACAGAGAATCAGAGAACACTAAAATGACTAGCCTAAGATCACACAGAAAACTAACGGCAGGCGCGCGAACAGAATGGATCCAAAGCAACTGAGACATGCTTTAAATTACTGTACATTTTCTGAACTGAAAGAAAAGATGAGAAATTCCAGCCTAAAAGGTAAATTCTCTAGAGGAAAGCTATTTCAGTAAACTAGGAAAAGAAAATTAAAGTTGTCAAATATAAATACAAAATACTATAATTAGTGTGACAATATAATTAGATCACTGGGTGGAAAGAGGTTCTTAATTCACAGCTTGTTTAAATACATGTCACAACAATAGGTTCCTGTAAGCCACTAATGTGCAATTAAAGTTCCTGTTATTTACCAGGAAAAACTAACTGGTGAAAAGAAGAAAGAATAATCTGGTTTTTTTGCTAGTAAGCGTTTGTTTAATGGAAAGAAAAAGCCCTGTTGCCTTTTTATGCACTTTATAATTTTTGTAATTCCAACTTTGCCAGTATGTAACTCTCAGAAAATATTTCGTGACAGAGATCCACTGAGCACTGTCACAAATGCTTGTGTTGGTAATATTATTACCACAAAGCTAAACAAAACAGTGTGGGTTTTATTTATTTTTTAAAATGTCTAAACTTTTTCATAGCAATACGTAGTAACTGCAAGCGTCAGTATGACTGCTAATGTCTTCCAAATATATAAAACTCATGAAAATTCCTAATTAGGAAAAATGTATTCTGTATTCTAATAGTTACTTTTCCCTCTCTTAAAAAAAATTGAAATAACTGTATTTTTTTAACATATACATAAAACACTTGGCAGGGGGGGAAACCCAAAACAACAAATAAAATGAAACCCGCATCCCAGCCAAAGGAAGAAAAGTGACATTTTAATGCCTGGGCTGATGCTGTATCTTAGCCCCCTACTGCCTTTGCGAGATGAGATTATGAATTAGCACTAAGAGAAGCTATAACAGAAACACTGACCGAAGCAGTAGTGACACGCACAGGTGCTGCTGTAACAAAACTAATAAAGTGAGTGAGAGGAGTTTAAATCTTTCAGATAGATAGCAAGGACTGAAGGTACTAAGCAAAATGAATATGGTTATCTTTATTTTGGGCTGTCCACTCCTCTTTTCCTCATCTTTTATGGCATATTGCTTCCAGTGCTAATGGAGATGATAGCTACGCTAAGATAAATAAAATTTTGCACAGGATCAAATCACATATATTAAACCCCAGACTGCTACCTTAGTCTTAAGTTTCCTCAAAGTACACAGCAGGTCCTCCCTCCCTCTGCTCCCCAAAATTACTAGGATATTTATTTGCCACGTGTAGCATTAAGGCTGCATTCACACATATAAGGAATAACGCCTATAAGGATTTTTCATTTTGTTTTCACAGAACCATTAATCACGCTTCTCCGCATTTCAGGGTAATCGGACTGATTTCTACGGGTCTTCATCCTGATTGACACTGGAGGAGGAACACTGGCATTATCAGTTTATATACAATCTTTTTGTTCAGTTTTAAGACTGCTGTCATGGTCCACAGGCTCACGCCACAAACCCCCAACCACGTTGCTGCGGTTTATGAAATGAGGGGCTTCCAGCAGCCTGGTTCAAGTCCTCTGCCAAAGACCCTCACTCGTTCTGCATCACGAGAACTGAGTGACAAAGCGCTCCTCTGGGGTTTGGTGCCAGCTTGGGCAGCTTTGCTCAAAGTAGGGGTGTAACAAGCTGTTGAATTGCCAAAACCTTTTAAACAGCCTTATTGCATATGTCCAACTCCTGGATCAGAGCTGACCAAACTCTGTGACAGGCACAAGTCAGGGTTGCATCCCATTCTCCTCCAAAGAAAGAGCAAATGTGGTACCCAGCTGACTGAGAAAACAGCACCTCACCTGACCAGGGCTACAGAGAGCTGCAGCAGAAGGGAGGAAGCACTGAGATCATCGCACAGATATCCCTTACAAACAAGATCATTGGTATTCCCAGCTTTTTACCCTGAATTTCCCTCTTTCTTGTTTGGCTTTCTCCTACCAGTACTCCCCTGTGTTCCCACCCTCTTTCCTGCTCTTTGGCTCCAGTATTCAGAGGCTCCTCTTCTGTATTTTCTCCCTTCCTCCTCTTTCCTTCTCTTCTCCACTCCCATGCTTCTAGCCTGCGTGGTTTTGCTTCCCAAGACCTTTGATTCTGCTCACTTGCAGCAGTGTAGATTTTGGGTACTTCCACTAAAATCACTAAGCTCCACTGAGTGCAGGGGGCACTAAAATCACAGTCCCACTCTGGGGCTGTGATATGGAGTACATTTCATTTTTCTCCCTGTTTGTGTCCTCCCTCAGCCCATTTCACGTAAGAACTTTGCAAACCCAGGGAAGATCTAGCAAGAGAAAGGCTGGTTATCCATGACCTTCAACAATGGCAAGGAAGAGCGAGAGGGCTGCTCTTACAGTCTGGAATAGGAAAGCCCTGTTTGCTCTCCCCTGCTTCAGGGTATTCCAGTTTGGCTCCAAGGCTGTGGTTTATCAGCCCTGGTCAAAGGCTGCTGTTTCCTCTCATAGCCTGCACAACAGGAAGTTGTTTATCCTCCCACCAGCTTTGCACCCAGTATAACCTCCCACGTCCCCCCTTTTCCCCTTTGCTACTTTCACATTTTGTAGTCACCTTCTTAAACGGCCTGTGAAAATATTATGCTGCACTTCACTACATTTAGTTAACTGTAAAATAATAATAATAAAAAATCCTAAAATATTTGAAGGTATTTTTAAGAGAATTTAAATATAGGGCTCTTTTCATCTAGCTATCACTGCAGTAATATAAATGAAGCAAATTAATTTTAATGCTCCAAGGTACTGATTCTGTGTCACTGTCACTGACAGGATCCAACTAGACTTTATGAGATGGCATTTGACTTTATGGAAGTGAGCACTATGCACGCATTTACAATTTTACAGGGACTTTAAGCTGT